AATGGAATTTTAAAATCACCGAATGTAATATTGCAGCTTTCCTTCCTCACTTGAAAAACGGTGGAATAATGGGTGTTAATTGTAATGGGTGGTCAGAGAGAGCCAGTTTGGTATAGTGATTAAGGCACCAGGCTGGAAACTGGGAGATCATGAATTCTAGTCCTGTCTTAGACACAAAGCCATCTGGGTGAGCTTGGGCCAGTCGCTTTCTCTCAGCCCTAGGAAGAAAGCAATAAATGGCAAACCACTTCTGAAAACCCTTGCCAAGAAAATTGCAAGAACCCAATCCGGTCAACACTTACTCAAAGGCACAACCCCTGTCCAAAAAAGAACTGTTGATCTTATTCATTCACTTGCAGAGTGCAACAAGATATGCACTCAGTAATAAACAGTATTTCTATAGAAGGTATATTGTACACAGAACTAAACATATAGCCCTGGATCCTTATTAGTTCCCCTTAATCAACAAGAAATGTGTAATGTGCCATTTAAGTGGAATTAAAGAAAGGCTAACCAGCATAGCTATGTGGCAATGTAGGATGACATAATTTATTTACTACAAACACTTAGTTCTTCACGCATTAAGTAAATAGTACAATTGTTTAAACAGAAGCAGACAAAAGATACTTAAGGTCATTCCAGTGGCATGATTTCAAGAAATTACAGAGAATTACTTTCTGGAATGTGTGTGACAATTGTTTTCTCTGATTATCTTTAGTTGCAATGAACAACTTAGAGATTATTTGTGATCTGCTGGCATTCGTTGCATACTGATTTTCCTTCTGAATATTTATACCTGAGGACTATACTTTTGCACTCATATCCATTCTATGAATGCCACATGCTGCGTTTTTACTTTAAATAGTGGAAAATAGTTCATATAGATTTGAGGAATAAAACAAAAATAAGAAAGCTGCTAATGCAGCTGCATTATTTATACTCAGACCAGGCACCGCAATTTAGAAAAGGTGCAGCAAGGATTAATTAAGGGACTTGGACTACACTGTCCTGAAATTGAAGGAAGCATGAAAAAGAAACTCAGACTAATTCCACCTTGGGTTTTCCTTTGAGAGAAAAATTTGGACAGGTTTTCAAGATTCTGCTAATATATCCTATAACAATGATGTTTCTTCCACTGGCCTACTTTAAAGGGTTGGCATCAATCTGGAAAGCCTATCCAAATTTCTCTATTTTCTTTATACTAAATAAAATCAAGGTGGAGTTATTTTAAGTTTCTTTTTCACGCTACTTTCTGTCTCTGGACCATGTAATCTCTTGTCAAAGGCTCTCCTTAATGGCTTACTCCTTTCTTCCATGTTTAATGGCTCCCTCCTACCTTCCCCAAGATCAGCTCTAAATCCCTTTACAATACTACATCATGCAGGGTCTTGTCTGATGCTACTCATCCTGTATGGTGTACAAATAATCAGCCCAGCCTACCTCACAGGACTGTTGTGAGAAAAATAAGACAAAGAAATATATGTACACTTCCTCAAGCTCTTACACTGAACACAGGATAGAAATCTAACAAATAAAGTGCAACTTAACAAACTTTGGACTGAGAGAGGAAGAAAAAAGGGAGAAATAGAAAAGCAGTAAGTAAAAAAGAGAACTAGTATCAAAAATGCTTTTCATAATGTTGTGATTAGCTGATTAGAATTTTCTTTTTTAATTGAAGTTTATTATATAAAAGACAGATAGAAACAAATATTAATGGAATGGGGGAAGGAAGGATGAGAAGGGGAAAAGATGCAAAGTAAAAGGGAAAGAAAAAAAGCAGTGACTTACAGCTTTTTCAGTGCAGTGGAATATAGAATACAGTTACAACCTCAACTTTTTGCTTTACATATTTAATAAGTACTAGCCATTTCTATAACAACAAAATAATGTAATCATCAAAGCATAAAATCAAAGTTTAATTTTTTTTGTTCCGAACATAAAATCCAGAAGCAGTTTTCAAGTAGAATCAAAACTGGATAAATTCTTTTCTTTAATTAAAGCAAGTTTTGCCATCTCTGTCAGTTATGTTGCTTTTCCCATCAGATCTTCCATTGTGGAAATTGATATGTATTTCCATTTTTGTGCATATAGGATTTTTGCCACAGTCAACATATGTAGTAACATATAGTTCTACTTTTTTTTCAAGTTATTTATCCAAAGCCCTGAAAGAAAAGGTTTCAATTTTATATTTGTTTTAAGAATCTTCTGAATTAAGAGATAGAACAAATGGCTTTTGTTTCCTTTTTTTTTTAACACTGTGGCCCCGTATCAGGAGATGTAAGAACCTTATTGGCATAAAATTCACAAGGTTCTTGGCAAAATAATTGCCTCCTGTTTTTATGAGGTGCACTTCACTCCATCTAAGAGTATTTCACTGTTGAAGAAGACCATGGTTTAGGAATCCAATCTTTCTTGAGAAACACCATTTTCATGACCAGTTGTTCACCTCCAAGATTTTCTCTCTGTTATTGTTCCTTGACTATGTATGGAAGGGTGATGAAAACACTCATTACAATCCATTTTCTTCATCTTTTTAGCCTAGTTTCATAATTTCTTACAACCCTCTTTTAGCAGCATTGATTAACCTCACATAGATAAGCAGGAATGGATAGTGATCAGATTGATGAGTCTTGGTAATCTTTCTTTCATATTCTGAATTTGTGCATCAACACAGAGTTCCCCTCACTATAGCTTCTTATATCTAGCATACTAGTGGGTTTTTTCACCACTACCACCACTGTTCTTCTTTTCCTCCTCAGTGGAAGTTTCAGTTGGATTTCTTGGTTTTGTTGACCAGAGTTGGAGAGGCTGAAATAATAGAACTTTATCAGGGAGATGGTGCTTGGCTTCCATGTTTGCATCCTTTGATCAACTCCATGGTGTGGAGGTTCACCATGTTCAACCAGTCGTTTTTGCCACAATCCTCCAAATACTCATCCCTTCACTGAAGTGCTTTCTTCTTTCTTGTGCCGCTCCCTTATTGACCCTGCCTCTGGGTGACTTCCTGTGCCTTGCTCCTCAGAAGCCTCATTCTGTCAGCCTTTGTGGAAAGCTGTTTGTGCAGTACTGCTGTGATTGTCACGATCCCTGATGTGTATAAAAAAGAATGGCTGGCCTCCAGTTCTTTTACCCTTTTCTTCTGCAAGGAGAAATGCTAGTGTTTGCCACAGAGGTAATTAGCATAATTTTCTGGTAGCTTCCAAATTCCCATTGCTCCACTGATGCCACTGATACCATCCTTTTGACAGTATCTCAAGCCAGCTTCTTCCTCTCCTGCTAAATTCTCTGACAAAGCTCTCCTATTCCTGTTTGTTCTCCTAATTCCTTGCTTTGTTTGTGAACTCCCTGCTGCCTATTTTTCTAAAAAATGTTGGCTGAGACTTATGAAGCATAAGCCTAATTTTGCATGTTTTAGTATTTTATTATCTAATCATGTATGAGTTTAAAAAGCAAGGCAATCTTTTTCAAAAAAAAGATTGCATGTGTCTCAGATTGCATGAAGATGTATTTTAACTCACAGGATATGCATAAAACTACTTAGTTTCTCTTTTTCCTTTGCTAGATTGCAAAAAATGGTATAGATCAAGTTGCTACCCTTTTTCAAAAGGTAATTGGACTTTCTTTGTTTTTTCCTTGAAGACATTTTGCTTTTCTTTCTTCTTGGATAAGAAGCAAAATGTCTTCAAGGAAAAAACAAAGAAAGTCCAATTGCCTTCAAGGACAACCATGACCTGGATGACTGAAAATCTCCATAGACATCAAATTGCTACAGTAAACCTGATTATACAGCAGGTAAACTATGTAGCATAATGAAAGTGAAAAAATTAACAGCCAGCATGTTAACAGACAATTTATGGCAATTGAAACTGATAACACACCTGAAAATATTTCCTTACTTCTCAGATTAGTTAATGTTTGTACAACACTTTGAAAAGAGTTGGATATTATAATGTGACCTTTACCAGTGTACTTATTTACTTTTGTGGGCATAAGCATGCTGTCTGCATCTAAACTAGAATAGGACAATTTTTCTTTTCAACATAGAAATCAAACTTGATCCTAAACATGTTTTTTCTGAGAAATAAGTACAGTTTTTTGCAAATGAACATTCCATCTATGTCGTCTAAGCAAAGAGTGATAAGATGAATGAAGCACAAGAAGAATTGTCTAGAGTAAACAGCCTCTGAAAATAATATGTATACATTTGCTGTTAACTATTGCTCTTATTCTCTTATTTTAAATTTGTTTTAACGGAGTGCTTATGTAAACAGAAAGGTTTGAAATACATTTTATAATTCAAAAAAGAAAAAGGGGCGCCTTAGGCATAAAACAGCCAATATTATTATCATTATCTATGTATTCTTGACATGTGTTTAATGGTGATCTTCCATTTAATAATTTTTAGTAATTTCTTGTTAATGTGCAGTGTATCATTTTGTAATGTTTAGGCTTGCACGAGAACCCAAGAAGTTGCTTTCTACTGAGCCAGTCATCCATTCTTTCCCAAACAATTGTCACTGACTGGCAGTGGCCCTTCAAGGTTTCTGGCAGAAGAGATTTGTACTTGTTAATATTTGAACATGAGGATTTCTGCATGAAAAGTATGTGCTGCACAACTGAGCAATAATATTAATTCCTGCTTGGAATTAATTTAGCTACAATGAAATTGAGTATTTCAAGAGTATTTCAAGAGTTTTGGACAAATGTATTTCTTAGTAAAAGCATTTGATATAAGTCATTTCAAAGGTCAATGTTTTTAACAAAAATTATCACAATATTCCTTAAAACAGCCTTATAAAATAGTTGAGTATTATTATCTATCTAGATATACGATAGAGATGGTCTGAGATTGAGAATATAATGGATCCATTGTTTTTTTTAACTATGCTTTCTTATTTTGTAAGATAACAAACTCACTGTGGATTGGCTACATATGAGGAGTTTTATTTAGGCTTTTTTTTTCTTATTTAGGATTGAGTAGTATTCTTGGAACTGGGTCTCGCTGTGAGAAAGCATGCAATCCTCAAATGGGAAACCTAGCTCATGGACGTAAATTGTGGACAGATACTACATGTGGATACAACTTCACAGAATTATACTGTTCCTACAGTGAAAATACAGACCTCCTATGCAAGTGGCCTAAGTGTAGCAAATGCAACTCTCTGAATACACATCTGGCTCATCCATCTTCTGCCATGGTTGATTCATCTTTTAGATTACCACACACATGGTGGCAATCAGCACAAGGAGTACAGACGGAGAAGATCCAGCTCAATTTGGAAACTGAATTTTATTTCACTCATTTGATCATGATATTCAAGTCACCGAGACCAGCAGCCATGGTCCTAGAGCGATCTCAGGATTTTGGAAAAACTTGGAAGCCTTATAAGTATTTTTCCATCAACTGCTCAGCATCCTTTAGGTTGGATGATGATGTAACTAAGAAAGAGGCACTTTGCACTTCAAGATACTCCAGCCATTTCCCCTGCACTGGAGGAGAGGTGAGTTCATTAAGATATCCATGACAATAAGCAATTCAATGTTGTTTGAAAACTATAAAGTCCTCCACTTTCTATTTTTCAGTAAAAGGTAAAGAAGTTCCCAGTCTAGCCTACAATGTTAATATTACCGAGAAGTGTCCCATCCAATTATTAAGCAGGTCCAACTCTGGTGAACTTCCAAATGTCGGACAAAGTTGGCCAATTGCTGCCACCTGCTGAAACCTTATTTCTAAGTACTATGTTTAAAAAGGAATATCAGTTTTTGTTATAATAAATGGAAAGATAAAAGATACAGATTTGTTTATGGATTTATATTTCTAGATACAATATTGCTTGCTTTGAAGCCTTGCGAGCTTTGTTTTCTTTGTCTATAGCTGGGTATTTTATTATTATTCTTTGCAAGTGACACCCATTCTCTTTAAATGTTGAGAAAATTATGGTAAAACAAATTGTAATAATAATAATAATAATAATAATAATAATAATAATAATAATAATAATAATAAAAACAACAACCAACTTATTATTGGTAAGTAGAATGTAGTTATCAAATTCTGCATCTCACTCTCTGAATGCCTGACATCAGCCAGCTTCTGACATATCCTTCTGGGATTTCCTGCCGTTTTATTCCTCTTAGTTATCTAATGCAGGGCTTTTCAATCTTTTCACAGATTGTACCACCTTTAGGACATGACAATATTCAAGAACCACCAGTGGTTTAGCAAGGTGTAAAAAATTTAACGATTAAAAAAAAGGGAAAAAGTGATGAAGTACACCCACCCAGATGCTCCACATTTGAGAAGCTTTTCAGATAGATTTACTGTACCTGGTCACTCATTCTGAAAATAGCTGCACTTTGTGTTTTGACAATATAGATATCCTCAATTACCATCCACATTTAGAACTGGTTACTTGGTCATTAAGTAAGGCAGTAGCTAAGAGATGCCACTGCTGTGCTTATGAACTCTGTTCAGCTTTACAGACCTGCAAAGATTCTAAATGCAAGGACAGGTTGCCCAGTTATTTTTTCCATCAGTTGTTAACTCTGAACAGTTGCTAAATGAGGCAGTCACTAAATGATGACTACTTTTATCAGTAATTTATACTTAATCCCTTTTCTAGTAATGATTACCTTATCACAGAAATATTCATATGTCTAATAATTTAGCTGTTGTGCAACCAACTTCCACATGCAAGCTGTTCAGTGAGCTGCCTACCAGTCAGAGCTCATTTTTCAATTAAAGCACTGCTGCTTCAGACCTTTTACTGCCTAGCTACATAGGAGCATCTGCTCCCACCCACAAAACTGCACTGAAGAATTTTACATATTTTATTCAAGTTGAGAGTACCTTTCTAAGTACTTTTCAGAAAGCAATGGATATCCTTCTTCAAAACCACCTGATTTACATAGAGATCATTCAGGGTTCCATACCCCTCCCTCCTTTTGTCAGAGAGAAGTTCCTAGAGAGGATCAATTCTCACAGACAGGCCGGCTGCAACCCTCTCAAATTAATGTGATTTCTTGTTGCTGAACTCCAACATCATAGCCACAGGTAGGACCATACTGGGTAGATTGAGGGGAAATATACCCCAGCAAATATGATTGGGCAGAGATTCCCAATTCATTTTAAGGCAACAATAAAAAAAGAATAAAACATACTGCTTTATTGAAATAAAAAATTCTGGACCAATGAGCAAACTCTGAACCTTAGTTAATAAAACAGGAAAGGCAACAGGGTCCTTCTGAAGAATCCAGATATCTTTCCAGGGTTTCTACAAATCCATTTTTCAAGACAAAAATGACCAGTCCATAATTAGAAATGACTCCCACCACCTTCATTTGCATTCCCAGGAGATTAACAGCCTATTTCCACCATTTTAAAGGGCTCCACTCTTCTCCCCACAAAAGGCCACCAAAAGCCACATCCAATGTCTGTCCCCCAAACAAAAAAAGGTTTTCCTATCCCTCCTCAGCCTTGCTCCAAATGCGGCTAGTTCAGTCATCCTCGGCCTGAAAACATGCAGCTTGCCCAAAACGCAGCTAGTTCAGTCATCCTCGGCCTGAAAACATGCGGCTTGCTCCAAATGCGGCTAGTTCATTCACCCTCGGCCTGAAAACATGCGGCTTGTTCCAAACGTGGCTAGTTCATTCACCCTCGGCCTGAAAACATGCGGCTTGTTCCAAACGCGGCTAGTTCAGTCATCCTCTGCCTGAAAACATGCAGCTTGCCCAAAACGCAGCTAGTTCAGTCATCCTCGGCCTGAAAACATGCGGCTTGCCCCAAATGCGGCTAGTTCAGTCATCCTCGGCCTGAAAACATGCGGCTTGTTCCAAACGCGGCTTGTTCCAAACGCGGCTAGTTCATTCACCCTCGGCCTGAAAACATGCGGCTTGCCCAAAACGCAGCTAGTTCAGTCA